GGGGGGGGGGGGGGGGGGGGGCCTGAAAGATACGTGGGGGATAGAGGGGAAAGCGGTCAACTTGCCTAATTGGTCGTAATGTTTCTGGAACGGTGAAAGGTAGTAACCTGAACCCGTCCGATCCATGTTTACTCCATTATCTGATGATACATTTGGGAGGGCAGCTATCGTTGGCGTTGCCGGATTAGGCGAAGTCGCCGAAATGAAGTGTTGGCCGTTGCTACCGTTCCCGTTGCTGCTATAGCTGCTGGACGCGGGCAATATTGGCGGTGGCAGGAGTTGGTGTAGCTGCGGAGTATCCTTTTGCTGCTGGGTTTGAATTCCTGCGCCGGGTATGGAAATGCCGCCTTGTAGGTTAAAGCCGGGGGACTTAGCGGTGGAAGGTGACGAGATATGGGAGGTTGGAGTGGGATGCAGTTGAGGGGAACTCATAGTATGGGCATCCTCACGATGTGCCTGCGAGATATTAGAATGGTCAAGCTTTGGTGTCTCCCCAACCTTGTGGCGATTGACAGACTGTCTGTTGCTATCGGCTCGTGAAAGAGGGGAGTTTTGGCTTATGGTTTGTCCAGCAGGCTTGGCTGATAGCATATTGGGACTGCCACTCTTCAGACGCAACTCAGCCTGAACGTCAATGCCTATAATTATGAGAGAAGAGCAAGGGAGTACGGAATACAATTAGTCTATGGCTTGAATAATTTTTGTTTCGCATCAATACCAACGCACGTCGCCACGAGTGAGGTGTAGTACCTTTTTCCAATAGAATTCGCTCCAGCAGCGAATTCTTATAGCGGAGCATTAGACATTCATCAGCAGCATTGCGGTGACTCTGCTGCAGCGACTGCAGGGTTTCCTCATTGTGCTTGATGGTAGTCTCCAACTGCTTCATGTACTCGGTTCGCCGTTCCCGAAACGCCGCTTGCGCTTGTCTATTCCTTTGCTTGCGCTCTTCGGAGGTGGCATATATCTACAGACATCGCTCCAATCGCATTGCCAGCGGCAAAGGGAGAACAGAAATTAGCAAGTAGATAATAGTATATATATAAAAAAAACTCAGTTAAACGGGAGAGTAGATACTACTAGTAGTACTAGTAGTTCTGTGAATAATGAAACAGAAAGGCCAAAATCTCAAGCGATAGCTCAGGAAACGACATACCGGCTTGCGCCCTCCCTTTCGCTTCTGCCGTTTGACAGCGCCTTGAAGAAGGATTTCACCATCTGGTTCTGGCGTTGAGACTGATGAACTGCTAGAACCCTCAGGGTTGGGTTCGGATTGCGGAATTACCTCCTCCATTCTCATGCCATTCCGCGAATTAATCTGGCTGACATAGACCACAGATCCCATATCATGCAGAGAAAGATGAAAGTCGAAGGATTGCAAAATTGAGGTGGTTAGGATCTTGGGGGAGAAATTGGGGCAGAAATTGTGGGGAGGGGGGTATTTGACAAGCTGGCTGGAACCGAATCTCGGAAGCGGGGAGGCGGAAGGGCGGAAGGGCTGCGTCTAGGTTGCAGAAACGCGCGGCTAAAGTGGCTAGAACGGGCGAGAAGTGGAAGCCACGAAGAGGAACATAGAGTGATAGGAGGGACGGTGGAAGAGGAAGAATCAGGCAGTTGCAGCAACAACATGAACAGAGACGGCTGCTGGCTTAAAGAAGCCAAAGGGCCAAAGGGCTGGAGAAAGAACAAGAGGCCCCGGGGGGGGGGGGGGGGGTGGGATTGGGATCTGGGATTTGGGATTGGCCGGGATTGGCCTGTATTGACCCGGCTAGTAGGGACTACAAACTATGTTGGCCTGTCTTGGCGGGGAAGGTGGGGGGGGGAGACACCCTTATTGCGGCAGGGATGAATGCATGGAGACACTGGAGACACTGAGTGTGCGCCGCCTAAATTGTTTGTTGCTGGACGTACTGTACGAGCACTACTTCATGCTGGCTGAAGCGGGATGCTTCATTTTTACAATGGACGGGACTTGTTATTATTCCTATCTTTTTACTCCGTACTTTTTGTTCGTTTTGCTTCCTTTGTGCGTGGTGAGCAGCTGCGGGGAATGACGTGGGATGATGCATGTTGCCCCGATCAGCGCTTTTCCACTCAATTATCCTGCATATCGCCTAAACAACCAACGGTAAAAAAGGGCGACGTTAAATACATGAATACCAGGCTATCAAACCGAACTAGTATTGTTAATGAGGAAGTTGCCGCAATACCGCGGAGTCCGGCTTCGCTTGTTCGGGGAAGAATTGAAAAATGGCAGTGCCTTCGGTGGTGGGGAAGAAGCTGGTGTGGGCGCCTCGCCACAACTGGCAACTTGTATTATTTGTATAGGTGCAGCCACAAGGAAACGTGGATATCTTCATCACAGCATTGAGTACGGAGTACGGAGTATGAATATAATTAAGTGCAGAGAATAGGTTAGTATTCAGCCACTTCAATATAATCAATATTTTGACTGTTAACATTGATGATAACCAAGTACAAATTCTAGAAACTAAGATAATAATTCGTAATTTTAGATTTTTTCTTTTTGCGAAAAGGTTTATATCAGCATATTCTATACAGATCTGTACACTTTGATTTGAATATATCTAGCCCCTAAATATTTCATGCACTGTACCTAACTATGGAAAAGTTACCTGAAATTGGGAATAAGCGGGGGACACGATTAAGTTTA